CCCTTGAACCCGGGAGGCAGAGATTGCAGCAAGCAGAGATCAGGCCATTGCACTCCAGCCTGCAGAGTGAGACTCCATCTCAATATAAATACATCAATAAATAAATAATCTTGTAATCATTAAATGAATTGGAGAGGAGAGTGATGTTAGCAAGATGGTAGAGTATTGTTGTGGATAACTATAGTTATCTGTAAATGGTAATAACTTTGGGAGGGATCAAGGGTCCATTTAAGAACCTGCAGTAACACAGTAGAGGAAAAAAATGGAGAATAACCATATAGGAACAATCAAAGGAGATCAGCATACCTGAGCCATCTAGAGACAGGAATAAAAGACAAGGGTAGGAACTATTAGTATCAACCACCCAGAAGGGGCTACTGTGGCCCCAGTTGCCTGCTCTACAGAGGACACTAGCAACTGAGTAACCAACAGCCATCCCCACTGCAGACCCCACCACCATCACCAGAAGGAAACATGGCTATGCCTCCTCCAAAGGAGCCACTGTTGTGCTTTTCAGGACTGGAGCCATCATCCCTCACAATCCCATGCAAATCCCTGACATCAGAACTATGGTTATTTCTCAGTCATGCTTCCTGTTAAGCCTGAAGAACTGTGCCTCGATTAAATTCTGCATAAATTACTCAGGTAGTTCTTTATAGCAGTGTGAAAACAGATTAATACACCATATTACACAAAGCAATCTACAGATTTAGTGCAGTCCCTATCAAAATTCTACTGTCATTTTTCACAGAAACAGAAAAAGCAATCCTAAAATTAAACTGGAACTACAAAAGACCTTGAGTAGCCAAAGCAACCTTGAGCAAAAAGAACAAAGCTGGAAGCATTATACTACCTGATTTCAAAATAATCTATTAATCTATAGTAGTTAAAACAACATGGTATTCAACTAAAAACAGACATATAGACAAACGGAAGAGAATAGAGAGCCCCAAAATAAATCCACACATTTAGGCAACTGATCTTTGACAAAAGTGCCAAGAACATACAATGTGGAAAGGACAGCCTCTTCAATAAAGGGTGTTGGCAAAACTAGACCTCCACATTCAGCAGAATGAGAGTTAACCCTTATGTTAGCTGATATACAAAAATCAACTCAGAATGGATCAAAGATTTGAACATAAGACCTGAAACTGTAAAACCATTAGAAGAAAATATAGAGGACAAGCTCCATGATAGTGGTCTAGGCAATAATTTTTTTAAAATATGACCCCAAAAGCACAGGCAACAAAAGCAAAAATTGGCAACTGACAGTGTATCAAACCAAAATGCTTCTGCACAGGCAAGGAAATAATCAAGAGTGAAGAGACTATCCATGACTTGGGCGGAAATATTTGCAAACCTGATAAAGGGTTAATATCAAAATATCTAAGGAACTCAACTTGATAGCAAGAAAGAAGTGATTTTATTTAAAAATGGGCCAATGACCTCAAATATCACTTCTCAAAATAAGATAAACAGCCAAGTGTGTCTCTAGTCCCAGCTACTTGGGAGGCTGAGGCAGGAGGTTAACTTGAGCCTAGGAATTTGAGATGAAACTGGGCAGCATAGTAAGACCCTGTCTCTTTTTAAAATTATTATTAGACTTTAAGTTCTGGGGTACATGTGCAGAACATGCAGGTTTGTTACATAGGTATACACATGCCATGGTGCTGTGCTGCACCCATTAACCCATCATATACATTAGGTATTTCTCCTAATGCTATCCCTCCCCGGGCCCTCCCACCCCCTCGCCATAGGCCCTGGTATGTGATGTTCCCCTCCCTGTGTCCATGTGTTCTCATTGTTCAACAGCCACTTATGAGTGGGAACATATGGTGTTTGGTTTTGTCATATTTTTTTTTCATGAAGAAGATATACAACTGGTCAAATAAAATATTTTAATATTTATATTACTGATGTGTATTTTAAAGAAATTAAAAAATTATAGTTCTTTATATTTATCCACATATTTCCCTTTTTTTTAACACAGGGTCTCACTCACCCAGGCTGGAATGTGGTGATGCAATCTCAGTTCACCACAACCTCCACCTCTTCGGTTCAAGTGATTCTCTTGCCTCAGCCTCCCAAGTAGCTGGGATTACAGGCACTCACCACCACGCCCAGCTAATTTTTTATTTCTACTAGAGACAGGGTTTCACTGTGTTGGCCAGGCTGGCCTCAAACTCCTGGCTTCAAGTGACTTGCCTGTCTCAGCCTCCCAAAGTGATGGGATTACAAACATGAGCCATGCCCAGCCCATATTTCCTATTTCTGATATTCTTCATTAATTTCTGACAATATGAGTTTCTATTTCTTATCAAATCCACTCAGTGTGAAAAACTTCCTTTGGCATTTCTTGTCGTGCAGGTCAGTGGATGATAAATTCTCTTGTTTTCATTTATCTAAATTAATATTTTTATTAGATAATAGAATTCCGAATTGACAGAGCTTTCTTCACCAGCTTTTAAAGATGCAACAAAAGCCAAAATGGACAAATGGGACCTAATCAAACTCCACAACTTCTGCACAGCAAAAGAAACAGTCATTAGAGTGAATCAGCAACCAACAGAATGGGAAAAATTTTTTGCAGTTTACCCATCTGACAAAGGGCTAATATCCAGAATTTACAAAGAACTAAAACAGATTTACAAGAAAAAAACAAACAAGCCCATTCAAAAGTGGGCAAAGGGTATGAACAGACACTTTACAAAAGAAGACATACATAAGGCCAACAAACATGAAAAAATGCTCATCCTCACTGGTCGTTAGAGAGATGCAAATCAAAACTACATTGAGATAACATCTCACGCCAGTCAGAATGGCAATCATTAAAAAATCTGGAGACAACAGATGCTGGAGAGGATGCAGAGAAATACAAACACTTTTACACTGTTGGTGGGAGTGTAAATTAGTTCAACCATTGTGGAAGACAGTGTGGTGATTCCTCAAGGACCTAGAAATAGAAATCCCATTTGACCCAGCGATCCCATTACTGGGTATATATCCAAAGGATTATAAATCGTTCTACTATAAGGACACATGCACACGAATGTTCACTGCAGCACAGTTTACAATAGCAAAGACCTGGAACCAACCCAAATGCCCACTGATGATAGACTGGACAGGGAAAATGTGGCACATATACACCATGAAATATTATGCAGCCATCAAAAACGATGAGTTCGTATCCTTTGTGGGGACATGGATGAACCTGGAAACCATCGTTCTCAGCAAACTGACAGAAGAACAGAAAATCAAACACCGCATGTTCTCACTCATAGGTGAGTGTTGAAAAATGAGAACACGTGGACACAGGGAGGAAAGCATCACACACTGGGGTCTGTTGGGGGTAAATAGGGGAGGGACAGTGGGGGGTGGGGAGTTGGGGAGAGATAGCATGGGGAGAAATGCCAGGTATAGGTGATGGGGAGGAAGGCAGCAAATCACACTGCCATGTGTGTGCCCATGCGACAATCTTGCATGTTCTTCACATGTACCCTAAAACCTAAAATGCAATAAAAAAAAGATGTCAATTCACTGTCTTTTTCCTTCCATTATTTCTTGTGACAAGTCAAACATTATTTATATTCCTTTTTCCTGTGTAGAATATATTGGTTTTTGCCTAGTTGTTTTCAAGATTTTTCTGATTATCTTTGATAATCATTTGATTTTCATGGTCAAATTATGATGGTCACTTGATTATAATGTACCTTGGTGTGGTTTTCATTGAATTTATCTTGCTTGGGATTGACTGAACCTCTTGAATATGTGTATTTATATTTTTCATAGGTTATTTTTCTTAAACATTTTTGCCCCCATCTTTCTCTTTTTTCTTGTGGGGATCCAATAACACATATATTGGTCTTTTCAAAATACTGTTCTACAGATCACTGAAGCTGTATTCATTATTTTTTGTGGGGAGCAGCTCATTAGATTTTGTAAGTTCTAGTGATCTATCATCAAGTTGCCTGATTCCTTCATCTGCCATCCCCGCTCTACTATTAAGCCCATTTTGCAAATTCTTTGTTTGCCCTTTTTTCAGTTCTTTATCTAGTTCCTATTTCTGTGTTGAAATTTCCTATTGCTCATTCATTACTATCATAATTTCCTTTATATTCTTGAGCAAAATAGTTATAATAGCTACTTTTAAATCCTTGAGTACTAATTCTTTCATCTTGGTTAACTCAGTGGTTAGTCTCTATTGATTCTCTTTTCTCTTTTTAAATTTCATGTCACATTTTCTTATTTTTTAAATATCTACTAATTTTGGATTTTCACCTTGGCATTTTGAAAACTTAGAGATAATAGATTTTGTTATGTTCCTCTTAAAAAGTACCATTCTTCTGTTTCTATAGACATCTAAATGACCTAAACTCAAATTCCAAACTCTATCTTCCTTGGAGTGGGAAGCAACTAAAAAAATCTGTGCAGTTCTCAGCATCAGCTAGACAGTTTAAGTCTGCACAGCACATGTGTAATTCACGGCACAGCCAAATATTTGGGTAGAGCTTTTGCACAGAATTTATGGTTTCCCTCTCCCGCCCTGTATGACTTTCTACTCACTTTCTAGCTGCTGTGGTCAGCCCAAATTCTGGTCTGATTCCTCAGTTGGGTAAGACTGCACAGACGTGGCAGCACCTGGAACTTCTATCAGTCACAGAGTCATAAAAAAGTTAAACTCACACTATAATGCATTTCTAAAAATGATTGAACTTTGAAATTCATTATTGTACTGTTCTCTCTACTTTTCAATTTGTCTGAAATTTTTTTATAATAAAAAAACCATGCTCAATATAAGTATTTTAAAAATTAAGGCTATGGGAGGTAGAAAATCAAAGTTCCCTGCAATCGCTGCATCTACATATAACCTCTATATAGAGCCAATAGACTATCTTAGTAAAGTAGACATCGCTTGACTCAGACTATCTCAGAGGGAAACATTATTTCAAGGAAGATATGAGATGAGATGCTTCCTCTTTTTTTTTTTTTTTTCCTTTTAGTTGCATTTATTTTAAGGCTGAATTTACTCCCGTGCCATAAGTTTTTGCTTCTTCAGTTTCTTCTGGGATATCTTCTTCTTCTGGGCAACCTCCTCTTCTGGTTTAGGAACAATCTGTTCCTTTTCAGCAAGGATCATCTCAATGTGGCAGGGAGAACTCATGTATGGGTTAATTCGACCATGAGCTCTGTAGGTCCGGCGGCGCATCTTGGGTGCTTTGTTCACTTGGATATGCTCAATGACCAGAGAATCTACATCTAAACCCTTAAGTTCAGCATTACTCTCTGCATTTTTAAGCATGTGCAGCAAAAATTCAGCACTCTTTTTGGGCCACCGACCTTGTGTCCAGCCCCACTGCTTGGCCTGGGCACACCTGCCAACTCCACCATTGTAACGTCGGAATGGTACGCACTGTTTCTGTAAAGTGACATCTTTCAGATACTTCGTGGCTTTTCGTATATGCATACCCTTGATGGCCTGGGCAGTTTCACGTGTGTTCTTAAAGTGAACGCGAAGATTGGAACCTCTTGATTTGCATGACTTTGTGGGGTTCTCCGGATCAAGTGAATAGTGAACCATTTTCACAGATTACCTCAGGCCGCTTGGGGAAAGAGGAAGAACGGTGACTTCTGGGAGATGCTTCCTCTTAACATAGCTTCCTCAGAACTACACATCACTATTCCTTAAAGTGCTGTTCGGAACATTAGCTTTGCTCTGTATTTTCTTAAACTGTAGAAGAAACCAAATGTTATACGAAGAGGGGAAAGGATCTTATGTATCTCAGCTGTAATATGTACTTAATTATAATAACATTGTATACTCTGAATATTGAGATAAACAAAAGTTATGAGGTGGCCAGGTGTGGTGGCTCATGCCTGTAATCCCAGCACTTTGGGAGGCTGAGGCAGGCAGATCACTTGAACTCTATACTTGAAGTACAGAGTTCAATGCCAGCCTGGCAACCATGGAAAAACCCTGTCTCTATTAAAAATACAAAACTTAGTAAAGCATGGTGGCACATACCTGTAATACCAGCTACTTGGAAGGCTGGGGCATAAAAATTGCTTGAATCCAGGAGGCAGAGGTTGCAGTGAGCCAAGATCATTCCACTGCACTCCAGCCTGGGTGACAGAGAGAGATGCTGTCTCAAGGAAAAAAAAAAGTTATGAGCTAATTACATTAATTACATTTAGAGAATGAGGTCATAAGAACTGAGGACAGAAAGGGATAAAAGTGGCCAAGTGTGGTGGCTCACATCTGTAATGCAGCACTTTGTGAGGCCAAGGCAGGTGGATCATCTGTGGTCAGGAGTTCAAGACCAGCCTGGTCAACATGGTGAAACCCTGTCTCTATTAAAAATACAAAAATTACCTGGGTGTGGTGGCAGGTGCCTGTAATCCCAGCTACTCAGGAGGCTGAGGCAGGGAACTGCTTTAAACTGGGAGGCAGAGGTTGCTGTGAGCTGAGATGGCACCACTGCACTCCAGCCTAGGCAAGAGAGCAAGACTCTGTCTCAAAAAAAAAAAAAAAGAAAAAAGAAAAAGAAAAATGAAAGGGGTAAAAGTAAAAGCAACTAAGGAAATAGTTCCTCATCTTCCACAACAGAATAGAGCTAAACCTATAACTGAAAAAAATAAAAAAAGAACATAAGCATGTTATTTAGAAATATGGTGGAATATATAAAAATGAACAGTTAAATGAATTGAAGAGGGTTGCATCTGGGAAGCAGAAATGGAGAGTTTGTACACTTACTCTTATTAATTTGTTATAAACAATTTGATTTAAAATTTTTAAAATTATATATACATAACAGTGATTAAATAGAAATTAAAGGTAGTAAGAACAACTATGTAAAATTAGATTAGAATTGGTGATATCAACTTGAACTCATGATTACTAATAATAGTTTTTTTCTTTAGTTCCATCTGCTGAAAAGTCATAGATGCAATGACACTTAAATCACAATAAGCTTTCTGAGCCCCCAGATACTGTTCTTTAAGTACCATTTTCTACTGAAAAGTGTCAGGACACTTTGCAGAAATGGCTCCCTTCAGTGCTGGGTCAGAAAAAGCCCAAAATAAAACTAGAACATCTTGTTGTACCACAAAGTAAAGAACTGCTAAATATATACATATGTTCTATCAAAACAGCTAGGTTGAAAGGAGCTCTCACTGTAACAAATCCCAATTTGAACACCAAAATAAGTAATGATTGTGATGGGTTATAACCCTTTGAGGAAATGGATTATAGCTGATTCAATAATCTGGGAATCCCTAAATCCATACTCATCTATCTTATCTGTGATAACACAGATGCTCCTTGACTTGTGAGGGGGCTACGTCCCAATAAATTCATCATGAGTCAAAAATATCCTAAGTCAAAAAATGCATTTAATACCCTAATAAATAAATACATTATAAAGACAAAATACCATAAATTGAACCATCATAAGCTGGGGACCATCTGTATATCATTAAACAGGGCAAAATGTAGGACTCTTCTTTTTTTTTCTTGAGACAGGGTATCGCTCTGTTGCCTAGGCTGGGGTGCAGTGACATGATCTTGGCACACTGCAGCCTTGGTCACCCAGGCTCAAGTGATCTTTCCACCTCAGCTTCCCGAGTAGCTGGGACCACAGATGCACACCACCTCCACTGGCTAATTTTTGTATTTTTTTGTAGAGACTGGGTTTCCACTGTTTTGCCCATGCTGGTGGTCTCAAACTCCTGGCTCAAGCAATCTGCTCGCCTCGACTTCCCAAAGTGCTGGGATCACAGGCTTGAGTCACCACACCAGGCGGAGCTCTTCTTTTTGGCAAAGTTGTTTCTAATAAATATGGAGAGAGAACAATTATCATTTTGTAACTATCATAGTAAAGACTAGTTTAGGAAAAATCAATAATACTGCAGAATTGTGAGAGGTTTTTGCTGAGGAGTAGGATATTTGCATTAAATTCAAGTGTCTCCCCCATGGATTGCTTATTAGTTGCAAGTAGAAAACCAGTAATTTATACTGTGGAGAAATTGAGATCAAATGGCATGCAACACACACAAACACACACACACACACCCCTAAGGGTGGTGACAATGTGTTAATTTGATTGTTGTATATGTATATCAAATCATCATGCTGTACAACTTGAATAAGCACAATTTTTGTCTATTATACCTCAGTAATACTGTAATGAACAAATGGTAAATAATTGGCTTGCAGTCTTCAAAAATCTCAATGTCACAAAAATACAAAGGTTGAGGAACTCTTCCATATTAAAGGAGACTAAAATGATATGGCAACTAAATATACTATGTGATCCTGTACTAGATCTATACTGAAGGGAAAAATGCTAGATAAAGACATTACTGGAACGATTGTGTTGTTCACAATCTAATGTCCAGACTGTAGATTAGATTAAATATAATATTGTATCAATGTTAAATATCCTTATTTTGATAAACACACAAGAGGATACCATTGTTCTTAAGAAATTCACATTTTAGAAGAGGTAAAAGAGCATAGTGTATGTAAAGTTTTTAAGAATGATTAATAAAATACAAATATTAAGCTTACATTATTTATATAGTATATATTATTTATATATTTATACATGGATATTACACATGAAGAATACTAAAACAAGTATGGCAAAATGTTAAGAATTGGTGACTGAGTAAAGGACAATAGTTCTCTATTACTCTTACAACTTTTCTGTAAGTTTAAAATTATTTGTAATAAAAAGTTTTTAAAAAATGGGCCAGGCATGGAGGCTCACGCCTATAATCCTAGTGCTTTGGGAAGCCAAGATGGGCAGATCACCTGAGGTCAGGAGTTTCAAGATCAGCCTGGCCAAAATGGTGAAACTCTGTCACTACTAAAAATACAAAAATTAGCCAGGTGTGGTGGCACTGCCTGCAATCCCAGCTACCGGGAAGAGTGAAAAAGGAGAATCACTGGAACCCAGGAGATGGAGGCTGCAGTGAACCAAGATCGAGCCACTGCACTCCAGCCTGGGCAACAGAGCAAGGCTCTGACTCAAACAAAACAAACAAAAAACAATTATGGCGAATCATAGGAACTTTTGAAAAGTCAACAGCTAAGGCAAGTCTTAGTTGGAGGACTGGAATCAGGGACCTAAATGAGAACCACTCAAGCATTATAACATTACCTTTAATGAAGGATTTCTGGAAATGAAGGAAAAAAGTTGACTTGTCTCTGAACAGAGATTTTTTACAGCTTCCATATAAACAAATTTAAGTAAACTTGAAATACACAATAACGTAGAGGAAAAGAGCTTTCATTTAAGAACAGATCTAAGTTTGTGCGCTAGTCCTGTTTGTTATACATCCTTCCCTGAGCATCACACTTTTCTCACCTGCAAGACACCATCCCGGCTGGGTGTGGTGGCTCAAGCCTATAATCCCAGCAGTTTGGGAGGTCGAGAGGGGTGGGTCACGAGGTCAGGAGTTCCAACACCAGCTTGGCCAACATGGTGAAACCCCTTCTCTACTAAAAATACAAAAATTAGCCGGGTGTGGTGGCGTTTGCCTGTAATCCCAGCTACTGGGGAGGCAGGAGAATCGCTTGAACCTGGGAGGCAGAGGTTGCAGTGAGCTGAGATTGCACCACTGCACTCCAGCCTGAGCAACACAGTGAGCGTCTGCCCCACCACGCACTCCCAAAGAAAAAACAAACGAAAAAACACCGTCCCAAACTTATAAAGGTCTCTTTTGATCCCTACAAATCATAGTGTATGAGATCTCCTAACTCTAAGTTATTATACAAATGACACAATAATATTAAAATCTTAGAGGAGTTTACCAAAATAAAGAATGGAGTTCGTATTCTTAAGGTACCATACACATTAATTACAGTTACAAAAAAATTACGGAGCACTTGGTAGTTGTGTAACCGGTGTCCCTTTAAAAAAGGTAATGCTTTTTTTCCTTGTTCTTTCAAGTCTTAAACATGTGACATTTTAAAATATTTTTAAACCTTTACGGAATTAGAAGTGGCATTTCGAACAGTGAAGTAACCGATCAGCTATGAGTGTTCCATCTCTAAAGCTTGCTCTTTCACCCATCTTGCAGAAGGTCGTCCGAGAGTAGGCTCGCGACACGCTCCCGCCCAAGTCCGAGACCGCAGGAGCGCTTCCGGGCCTTGGCGCTGAGGTCTAAAACCCTCGGCCAGCCAAGAAGAAGGGACTGCTGCGCATGCGCGCCCCGGGGTAGCCTCTCCGGAGCGAGCCGTCTCGATACGTCACCACCAGCCTCGCACGAACTGTAACCGGCGGGAGTCTTTCAAAATGGGAGCGCAGAGGCACCGCCCAGGCCTTGGAAGGTGTCGGGGAGGACTCTCCGTGGCTTTAGCGTCGTGGCCTGGAGCGGCGGCCTAGAGAACCAAGCCTGATGGGCGCCAAGAGCGGCTGGCTGCTTGGAGCGTTGCCTCGAAGGGACTGGGTGAAGGAAGATAATTCGGAGAACCCAGGCCAGAGCCTGGAAATATGGCGACCTGCATCGGGGAGAAGATCGAGGTGAAAAGACGCGGCAGTCTGCAGCGGGGCGGGTAGGAGTAGTTATGGCGGGACTGGAGACCTCCGTGGGAAGGGGAGCGAGCGAAGCTAACAGCTGCGGCACCGGCGCCGAGGTGCTTAGGGAGGGTC